GCCTGAGCTTCGCCGGGCGCGCCGCGCCCGCCGGCGCAGTTGCGGCCCTGGGGGCGCCGCCCCGCCGAGCGCAGCAGCCGCGCCAGGGGGGCGCGCCCGGTGGCTGTCTTGGGGGCACCAGGGGGGCCCGCCCAGCCGCCGCGTCGCAGATTCATCTGCGGGGGCGGCCCTTGGCGCCTGAGCGGGCCTCAGGCGGGGCCATGGGGCCCGCGCAGCCGCCGCGGCCGCGCCGCCGCCGGCGGCCAGGCGCGCAGACGGCGCGGAGCCGGAGCGCTGGGGCGGTCGCCTGGCCAGGAGGCCGACGCGCGACGACCGCCGGGGGTGCGCGGGCGGCGACTGGCGGAGGCGGAGGCGAGCTGGGGCCAGGGCCGCGTCTTCTTGGAGTCGCGGTCGGTCTCGACGAGAGTCGGAGAGGCGCTTCCCGCTCGACGCGCCGGAGCAGAATGGCGAGGCCGCGGCGTCGCGGGGCGACGCGACGAGCTTCGACGGGGGCCGCCGCGGGGAATTTCAGCATGCCGAGGGCGGCAGCGGCCTTTCCATTGGAAGCTGTGGCGCCTCGGGCTGGACCTGATGCGAGCTCGTCGAGCCCTGGTGGGTCTCGCGAAGTTAGTTAACTCCCTCCAGCGCCCGACCGCCCGCGCTGGAGCTGGCGGTGGCGAGGATCGTGAATTGCATGATCGTCTTGGGGGGGCCTTGGCAGATGGCGGCGCGCGCTGCGCCTCTGGCTGGTAGCTGTCGCCGCCGCCAGCTGGGGCCAGCTCTCGGGGCGCGCGCCGCGGAGCGCGGCGCTTCGCCGTGCTTCGCCCAGCCGAGGGCCTCCAGTCCTCGAAAACAGGCCTGTCCGGCGAGCCCCTGGTGATGGACAACGACAAGAACGACGACCTGTTGCCGATGCTGGCCCGCCTCGAGAGGGAGTCGATCGGCCGCCTGTTCCCGTTCGAGTGCGCGGAGATGGCGAAGCACCTCAGCAGGGCGGTGAAAGCGCTCAACTTGAAGGCGATCGGCGTCGACTACCTGCGCCAGCGCAGGCGCGGCGGCATGCCCCGCGAAATCGCCGGCAAGAAGTTGGATCTACGGGGCGCGCGCTGATCAGGGCGCTAGGTGAAGGTCAAAGCGCCGCGTAAGCACGAGAGGGAGGACGTGCCCAGCCAGGTGTTGGCAAGGCTGCTGCTTAGGGGCGCTCTCGAGCAAGCGAAGTAGCGCTGGGGCCTGGTTGGATTGATCTTCCCACGGGCCCGCCAGCCGCCGCCGCCCTTGCCCAGCGGGGGCAAGTCGGCCTCGAGCTCTTCAGCGGGGCGGGGCGCTGGGCGCGGGCGCGGCGGCAGACAGAAGGGCTGAGCTGCTGGCCGGCTTTCGAGTGGGATTTGTGCCGCTGGCAGAAGTGCGACCTCGCCCTCGGGTCCGACCAGAAAGTTGTCCGCGGGCTGGTCCGCTCCGGATTGATCTGCGCGGCGTGGATCGGGCTGCATTGTTCACCATTGTCGACGTCGCGCCGAGGCGGTGGATCTGGGCCGCCGCCACTTCGCAGTCGAGAGCACGTCATGGGACTTCCCGGTCTGAGCCTCAAAAATGCAGTGAAGGTTTTTTTGGGCAACAAACGATTCCAATTCTTAACGTTTTGCGTATCCCCACCAGCCCATCCAGAAACGATGCCCATGAGAGCTGACTAGGTGAGAGATGAAAAGACGCGTAGTCAAACAGCGAGAGAGGCCAGCCGGCCTGGACTTCGTGTTGGGGCCATTTTTGGGCCCGCGTGGCTTCTTGGCGGCCTCCTGGGGAGGCTGCGTGGCCATATCGAGCTGCCTTGAAGCGATCTTGGGGCCTCTTGGAGCATCTTGGGAGCCATCTTGAGCCAGCTGTGGCCATTTTGGGCAATCTTGGAGGTCATCTTGGGCTCTGTGAGGCCGCTCGGGGGGGGGGCGGCTCTTGGAGCCTTCTTGGGGCCGCTTGGGGCGCTCGTGGGACCCACTTAGGGGCCTCCCAAGGGGGCCATGTTGGAAACGGTCCCACTGGCCGGAAAAACGAGCCTCCGACACTTTGCGAAACCTTGAGAAAAAAAAACAGGGAGGGGAGGTGGACGGTTCCCCTCCCAGAAGGGAAGAAGGGTTCTGGAAGAAAACAGAGATTACCCTGAGACCACCTATCGCCCAAAGGGCTGGTGGGGTTTAGCGCCAATGTCCTCCAGGTGTGTCTTCAGCTGCGAATCCACGTGGCGCTTGAGAGCCCTCGCTCCTCTCGCGTCTGGATGGCCCCGCCCGTTGCACGAGTCATGCACCGCGCCCTGGCCAGGCAGACTACTGTCGATGCTTGCCAGTGCGGGTTCCCTGGCGAGTTCCTCTCCTTCTGGATTGACCTTTCGGGAGCCGGGGCCCTGCTGAAATCTTATGGTCGTGTCTGTTCCAGGTCCCGGGGTTCCGCGCGCCTGGCTGAGCGGCGAGGCCCTTCGAAGCCCCCGGGCAGGCTGGAGAGTTCCGAGCCGAGGTGGCGGGGCCCTATCCCTGGCCCTTGCAGATTCGGAGAACCAGTCGAACCGCGCTGCAGAAGCTTCTCCCGACCAGCTGGTGGTCGATGGCGGCCCGTGCGGGCCAGTAGCTCTTGTCGGGCCGCTGATTCGGGCGGGAACGGCGCGGCCCAGCTCGGTGTCTGAAAGGCGGCCAGCCCGCCGTCCGCTCCCAGCTCGCACTCGCAGTCGGAACAAATAAGCGTCTGGCCCAGCGGCAAGAGCTGGATGATTTTTGTGCTTGCGCATGGATCATCTCAACGCTGGATGCGCCATGGCCGTCTCCTGCCAAGCAGCTGTGGCCACGCCTCGCCCTCCCTGGTGGATCCTTGGTTTCAAGGGGCAGGAGCGGCTTGGCCACAGTTCGGTGTTTGACAGGCGGCGGGGCCCGCCTTTCGCTCCCAGCTCGTGCCAGATCGTCGCACTCGCAGTCGGAAATGGAGCGTCTGGCCCAGCAGCAGGGGCGGGATGATATAGGATCACAAGGGATCCTGCGGTGCCGGAGGGGCCTCCTCCGACACACTTCGATTTGTCGCGAGTGTTTCTTTTTGCCGTCCAGGAGCGGGCCGACGAACTCTTTGTGAACTGGTGCAAGCTGCGGGCGCCTCCGGCTACCGCGCGCGACTCCTGGGTCTTGGCATCGCTCGGACGTTTGCATTTTTTCTTCGGTGGGGACCATCGAGGAGCATCCTTCATCATTTGGCGAAAAAACCACACACGAAACCAAAAAAAAACAAAGGGAATGGACGTCCGAGCGATGGCGAGGGGTGGGTGGACCCGCGCTCGCTGATTCGGGCGGGCCGTGGGCGGTTGCGCAGTCGAGCCGGCGCACCATGCGATGCAGCGGGCAGCGGGAGCGCAGGGCGCACACGCGGCGCGCCTCCGCTGCGGCGGCACGCGCAGACTATACCTTGAGCAAGGGGTGGGGCGTGGAGGCGGGCACGCGGCGCCGTGGCAGGCCAGATGCGGGCACCCGGGTGGCCAGTGACCGCGCGCAAGGAGCTGGGCTGCGCGTGCCACGAGCGTTGCCAGGCACCTGACTCGTCGGTTTGCTGCCTGCGCTCGCCTCGGGCTCGGGCGCCACGGCTTGCGGGCGCCTCTCCCAGCGCGGCGCGTCATGGACTTGACAGTGCTACTTCACAATCTATCTGCTCGACAGCACGTATGTTTCTCGTCTAAGGGCAGTCCTGCTTGCGGGCCTAGGTCTTGAGGAACGCCGACATGTTGATTGCATGTTGCTGTTAGGCTCGCTCCACGTACGTAGATCTTCCCATTCCACGGGGTGACAAGTTTAAACTCGCTCACGTCTTGTGCGCGCCTGTCAGAGAGAGCATGTCCGCCGTGCAAGCACGAACTCCCGAGGCAGTCGGAGAAAAGAGAAGCTGTGTACATAAGAGGGCGAGGATGACGAGGAGGAAGTGGCGAATAAACAGGAGGATGGACAGACGGATAAGGATGTGGTTGAGAAAGGAGGATGACGGGGACGAACAGCAGCAGCAGCGGCAACTGGAGCGGAAGGAACAGGAGGAGCAGGAAGACCAGGGGAAGGCGGAGGAGGAGGGGAAAAGGAAGGGGTCGACAACGCTGAGGAAGGACTTGGATCCAGCACGGTGGCCCGCGTTGGGGTGAGAGAGCAAGCCTGAACGACAGGGGCGAAGCGCCGATCCTGAAACGAGGCCATCGCTGCATAGGCAAAACTATTTTTGTGTTCAGACGCCAGAAACGCTCAAATGGAACAAAAGCACAGGGATGACCAAAGAAGGAAGCCCTGTGTGTAACAAACGACAGTACGCGGAGGGGGTGGGCTGGTCCCGGGCCATCGTCGGGGGTGGGAGGAGAGTGGTATTCAGATTCAGCAGTTGTGAAGGGGGCGTGGTGGGGACAGCTGAAGGAGAAGGGGGAGGCAGAGAGGCGAGAGCAAGGTGATGAGATGATGAGGGAGCATGCGGGGCGGAAGGAGGCTGGATGATGGAGGGTGGAAGAGAGCTGAGGGCCGAGCGAAAGAGTGGGTGTTGGGTGGATGGGGTCAAGGGGAGGATGGGGAAGATGAGGGGCAAAGGGGGAGGCAGGGTATGATGATGATGATGAGGAGGAGGAGGAGGAGACGAGGGCATCAGTGATCATTCTGCCACCTCCACCAGCCTGAACCTCAGAGGAGAATAGGAAGGGGATGGGACAGGGTCATCTGCAGTGTCTCTGTGCGCGACGTCGGGGGCCGCGGGCGACGACGATGACGACGCCGACGACGAAGATCACGACGACCACGGCCACGACCGAGGCGAACACGACCATGACCACGACCCACAACCACCACGACCACGACCGCGACGACCACGACCACGACGACGACCACGACCACCACGACCACCACGACCACCACGACCACCACGACCACGACCACGACGACGACGACGACCACGACGACGACCATGACCACGACCACGACGACGACGAGGACGACGACGACGACGACAGCGCGGCGGCACGCCCGGGCCGCCAGGTGAACGGCACGCCGCCCCTGGAGCGCTCGCTCAGCGCTCAGCCTCCTCGTGGGGGTGGGGGTGGGGCGGCTGGCGGCAAGCCGGGGGGGGGGGGTGGGGGCGGAGAGCGAAGGGGCCCTGGGACACGAAAAATAAATAGACACACGCAGCAGGATTCCCCAGGTCTCCCCGCATGTTCTGGGTTTTTGACAATTACACAATATGAAAATACTCTCCCACTTCCCCTGATGGCGTCCCGAAGATATCCGACACCCCCCCGCGTACTGCTTTTTTACACACAGGATTCCCGGGAAACGGGTTTTCGCTTGCGTTTTTTTCAAAATGCTGCTCTCGCTGAGGCGCCGGCCTCATTTCTGCTCCCGAATCGTTCCGAATCGTGCTCCCGCTGCAGCGTGGGCCTCATTTTCGGATCGGTGTTTGGCCTCCGTCGTTCAGGATGGCGTTCTCGCCCCAGCGCGGGCCTCTTTCTCGCGCGCCCATCCGCCCGCCACCACCGCGCCGCACCACCACCACCACCACCACCACCACCACCACCACCACCCACCACCACCACCACCACCACCACCCACCACCACCACCACCACCACCCACCACCACCACCACCACCACCACCACCACCACCACCACCACCACCACAACCACGCACACACGCACGCACGCACGCACGCGCACCACCACCCACTACGCACGCGCGCGCGGAGCCACAGGTCCGCTACGACACGCGTCCGCGGATAGAGAAAATCAGCGCCATGGTAAGGGATGGGAGGGAGGGGTAGGACGTCTGATATGACGCGAGCGCACCTAGCTTGTCTGCCCCCCCTCCCCCCCTTCCCATATGTTTCCACATCTTCTGGGGAATCGACGATTAATGGTGTCTGTGTTGAAAGGGAGAGGCATTGGGAACGGGGCGATCGGGGGCAATGATAGGGGGGGATAGGCATAGGAAGGGATGCATCGACCCCCAATCGCCCATTGATCGCCGATAGGGGCCCGATAGCCCCAACCCGCCCAGGAAGGTGCGGACTCACTATCGTCGGGCTATCGCCGGTCTATCGGCGATGTATCGCCGATTCCAGGTCGATGCATCCTCCCCTATGCCAGCCCCCCCCTATCGTTGCCCCTCAGGGGAGCTACGAACATTGTTGTGTGAAATTGGTTGTTCTTGGTTTGCATGTTCGGCATTTCCTTTAATCTTTCTTAAAAAGGAGGCAGGAACACCATACACTTATTTCAGAGACTAGAAGATTCAGGAGAGGAAAAAACACACAGACACAATTATTCTTCGATTCCCAGAAAATATGGGAAAATATGGGAAGTGGAGGGAAGACAGAAACCCAGAAAATGTAGGAAATTATGGGGAATAGTTTTATTTGTGTGTATTTCTTTGTGTGTCCCAGGGCCCATTCAAAGATGCGCTGCCAGTTCCAGAGGTTGGCGGGCGATGTTGCCTCACACTGCCGCCCGTGGCCTCTGCTTGCCCCCTCGTTGCTTCCCGTCGTCTCCCGTGGCCTTCCACTGCAGTCCCTACCCCCGATCCCCTTTACCCTTGGCATCGCTCGGACGTGTGCATTTTTCCTTCGGCGAGGACCATCGAGGAGCATCCTTGATCATTTGGCGAAAAAACCACGCACGACACCGAAAAAAACACAGGGAATGGACGTCCGAGCGATGGCCAGTTACCCCCCCTCCTGTCCCATTCCCCCCTACCCTAAACCCCTGTGCCCATGTCTGAAAGAGCGCGCCTGTGGCACACTTCTCACCAAAAGGGGCCCCCCAGCTTGAAGCTACCCTCCTTTTCATCCCTGACCTGGATCCCCCTGCCCATACCTCTAGCCTTGCATCCCCGGCCCCACACTCAGGGTTGGGTGTCTCGTGGAAGGTTTCTTGTGGTCGAGCTCCTACTGCATCAGCTGTCCCTCGTCCAGGGCGTTTTTGGGGTTGTCAGAATCGTCTGGGATGGCCACCGGGCGCTCCCTCTCCGTGGTGCGGGGCACATCCCGCCCCCGCGGCTGATCTGAACCTCTCACGGTCATCTGCGAATCTGTGGCGGGGCACATCCCGCCTTTGTATTGGATCGAAGCCTTTCGCGATCCTCTAGGAGTTGTCTGCGTCGGGCACAGCCCAGGCTCCCCCGAGCGCCTCCCAGGGACCGTCACGCGCTCCCAGGCGGCCCCAGGCGCTCCCAAGCACTCCCAGGCGCCCGCAGACGCCCCCAAGCGCGCCCAGCAATGGGGGGGGCGCGGGAGCCAGACGGGCTCTGCCGCCACACTCATAGCTCAAATATCGATCGCGGCCGCTCTTGGCCACCCCGCGCCGGCCTCGTCGAGTTCCCGGCCCCCTTCTGCGCCCCCAGCGGCGCTGCCAGGCGGCCCTCTACGCCGCGACCCCGATGACCCGTCCCGCCAGCCAGTAGGCCTGGTGGCCCCCAGGTGCTCGCATGCGCCTCCTCCTGTCGTACTCGTCGTTGTCGTGCTCTCTTATGGAACCTGGCCCCCTCGCGCGGGCCTCGCCACGTCTTGAGGCTTGAGTCTGGAGCCCGTGGCGGGCCGCGCGGACCGACAGGAGAAGGAGTGAGGGACACAAGGGTTCCTCCTTCCCCTCTGCCCCGCGGCGGGGGGCGTAGGACTGGACAGGACTGGAAGAAGCCGCGCCGACACGGCGCATCGGCAGCAAGTCGCGCAAGAACGGGGCCACGAAGCATCAGGAACATCTGACCGCTAAGTGCATGCGCGCCAGAATACGACCGTTGAGTTCGCAGGCGAGGGCAGCGGTTGCAATACATCACAGCGGGTGGCCGTGCAAAGGGGAGAGGCAGGAGGGAGATGGGGGAGGGGAGGAAAGGAGGACAAGCAGGGGAACACACAAACTATACACATTTGCAATAACGTACAACTGCACGCTGTTGCAAAACAAGAGAACCAGAGAGAAACAAGCACCAGCCACAACTCGCATATTACACTTGGTCTTTCATCCATCCCACGCAGACCTCGATTGCGAAGGCCTTACGGCCGGTGCCGCCGTCCCTGAAGGGCGACGACGACGACGCTGACGTGCGTCAGAGTCCTCAGGGATTCTGATTGGGGTCTCCTCGGAGCGCTCTCGGAGGCCTCCCGGGGGCAGTTTTGGGGGCCCTTTGGGATCATCTTGGAGGCCTCTTGGGAGCCTCTTGGGAGCCTCTTAGGAGCCTCGTAGGGTGGGGCGGGGGGCGTAGGAACCAGAAACAACAAGCACCACACATAACTCGCATGTCACACTTGGTCTTTCATCCGACCCACGCCGACCTCGATTCCCCAGCCCCTGGGCGCCCTCGGCCAAGCTCCCAGGCGACTATTCCACGGTCCAGACGGCCCGCCCCGCCAGCTGGCACGCCGCATACTATGTGCACCGTCGTAGGAAATGGGCGTCCAGGATGGCTGGGACGTAGGCACTGCGGCAGAGCATAACACTTTGAGTATGTTACGCTTGTGCTCATGGGTACTCGTTGTCGATCTCGGGGCTAGGGCTGTTGGGCCCTCGGCACAACTGGACAGCCTCTGGGTCGTCGCAGGCGGGGCACCAGTCGGACCGGCGGACCTTCCCAAACAGCCATGCGTCGCATGCGTGTTGACCTCGGGACGGGCGTACCCGTAACCCGCTACTGGGTGTAAACGCGATCGAACCACAATCCAACGAGGTGAAACGTGGAACCTTGGCTGCGCCTGATGGTCATCGCTGAACCGTACCAGTAGGGCATGATAAACTATCCCTGCTTTCCTGCACAACGTGAAATGGTGCGCGAGGCTGCGACTGCCGGATGGCGTCTTCGCGGCGAACACACCGCAAGTAATCACCTATTCCACTTCTGCCGTGGCGCCGTTACGAAGCAATAGTCTTTGAAACTGCCAGTTCCCGTTCCCGTCACGGTCGCCAGACTGTGCCGCCAGACTCGTCAGAGTTAGGTTATGTTCCCCTCCATTGCGGTCTGTCAGAAGCACGAAAGGTTTGCAGAGGTGAGGGCGAACACATAGACGCACCCTGCTGCCAATTAGCCTCAATTGACATCCAGGCTGGCGCTAATAAACGAAACAAACAAGGCCTCCCGCTTTTCCCCTCTCGCGCCCCTGTTGTCTATCGCGTCATATGCCCCAAGCATCCGCAAGTGGCATCCAGGCTCGCGCTACGAAACAAAGTAACAAAAAGGCGCCCCTCAATCCGTGCTCGCGCCTTGCTGTCTTCCGCTTTATGCCCTCCATCCAGCCTCAATTGACATCATGGGCCGCGCTACAGAAAGAAGCAATCAACGACCTCCCCCAATCCACGCTTCCCCCTTGCTGTCTATCGCGTTATATATCGACGACACCTACAATCATCGCCGCCCCCTGCACTTGGAACCGCCCATGTGGCCGAACGTCGTGGTCAGAGCACTGCCAAGCTATCGGACCGTGTGTTCACCCAGCTGTGGTGGAAACCACGCGGGGAACACGCGGGGGAGAACGAACAAGCGGAGGAGAGGGAGGAGGGAGGAGGGAGGAGGAGGAGGAGGAGGAGGAGGAGGAGGAGGAGGAGGGAGGAGGAGGAGGAGGAGGAGGGAGGAGGAGGAGGAGGAGGGAGGAGGAGGAGGAGGAGTAGGAGGAGGAGGAGGAGGAGGAGGGAGGAGAGGAGGAGGGGAGGAGGGAGGAAGAGGAGGAGGAGGAGGAGGGAGGAGAGGAGGAGGAGGAGAGGAGGAGGAGGAGGAGGAGGAGGAGGAGGGGAGGAGGAGGCCGAGGCCTGCCGCAGAGGCGGGCTGTCGGGCTCGGGAGCGGCGGCGGGGCCAAGGAGGCCCGCAGCCGCCCCCGAGTGCCACCGTCACGCGATTTGTCGGTGACGTTTCCCAGCTCGAAGTTGTGGCCTCGAAGGAGCGCTTCGCCGCCAGGCGCTGGAGGCAGTGGGGCGCACGCAGCCGAAGGGAGACTCACTCCGCAGAGGTGCAAGCGATGAGGCTGCACGTGCAGTGGCACTGCAGTGCCTGCAGCGGTGCTCGCCGAAGTCGCCCTCCACGCCGTGAAATGTCGAGTGGTGATCGGAGCTTCGCTGAATGACCCCCCCTGGAACCCGTGTGAGTGTGAGGAGGAGGGGGAGGAGGAGGGGGAGGAGGAGGAGGAGGAGGAGGAGGAGGAGGAGGAGGAGGAGGAAGCAGAGCTCAAGGGAAGGTTGCGGTGCACCGGGGGAAGAGCACGCGGGGGAGGGGGGGGGAGCATGATGAGAAGGATGATCAGGAGGATGAGGATAATGAGTTGGGGGGCGTTTTGGGGGGAGAAACTAGGGGGACCTCTTGGGAGCCTGTTGGCGGCTTCTTGGAGGCCTCTTGGGGCCTCCTGAAATCTTCCAGGGGGCGAGGGCTCGAGATGTCCGTTCGGGTCCCCCGTATGGGCACCCTTTTGTTGGAGCCGTCTTGGGTGCCTCTTGGCCTGTCTTGGAGGCGTCTCGGGCCGTCTTGGGCCATTTTGGTAACGTCTTAGAGGACGTTGGCCACCTTGGAGCGATGGTGGTGGCCTCGTTGGCTGTCTTGGAGCCCCGGGAAGAGGAATGGCGAGACCGCCAAAGTTTTTCAAACACCTCAGAGAAGTTGATGATGTCTTCTTCCTGGGGCCTTCTTGGGAGTGCTCCTGGAAGCCTCTTGGGGCGTCTTGCAGACCTAATTAGCCGTCTGGAGACCGTCAACCGGGCCGTCAAGGCATCTTGGACAGATCGTTCGGCGGTTCGGGACCCTCTTGGACCGTCTTGGGGGCCTCTTCGGGCACTCTTGGTTAGTCCTGAGTTTCTCTTTTGGGACCCGGGACCCCCCGGGACGGAGGCGTATCTGGGTGGCGACCTTCCCTGGGAACCACCACTGGGACCCCCCCCCCGCCGAGTTGTCCGAATCTACAGCAGACCTGTGCCCATTCCCAACTCTGGCAGCGAGATTTACGAAGGGTCATTGGTGGCACTGGTCTCTGCGTGTTCATCTCCCCCAGAGTTCGTGCCGACGCCACGTCGCCCCTGGCTTCGCGAGGAGCCACTCCTGTTTGCCTCCTGAAAGAGGGAGGCGACGCCCACGCCCCACTTCAGCGGGTAGCCGGCCTGGATCTCGAGCGTCTGAAGGCCTTCCCAAAGATCCTTCTGCCGGTGCAGCCGTCTGCCCTCCGCGCGCCGCCGAAAGAGCGACGAGGCAGCAATGGTGGGGTCTTCGTTCTCCTCCCAGTCCTCTCAGGGGGGCGTAAGACCCGGGTACAGGGGACTCGGAAATCCCCGACGAGGTCGTCAAAAAAATGACGAGGCTGAGCCTGCATTTTGACGAAGCCTCCCGCTGCAAACATCCCACGAAACTCCTACTCGTCAAAATCCGAGACGCGGTCGTCAAAAAACGATGGCGAACCCGAGTCCTGGCAAACCCGGGTCTTACGCTCCCCCGATCCTCCCGTCTATCGGCCCGGTCACTCTCCTCATCCCCTCGCGGCCCTTCCCATTCGCACGCCCTCCCTCTGCGTCCCAGCGGATCTCCCCTCCCACTCTCTGGCCTTGCCGGGGCCTTCACATGCCAAGGTTCCACAGCTTCGACCTCATCGGAAAGTGGGGCTTTGCCTTCGCCGGCTCCACAACAAACGGGAGCGCTCCCCCCCACCACCCGCTCGTTCCCTTCCAGCAGAGTGAGGCGAAGGGGGGTGGCCCTCAGGGGACCTCGGTTCGCAGGTGGATGTGAGTCCCCCATGGCTGGTGCTCTCGCGCAGCAAGTCCACAGAGGATGACTTGCTGGAAAGCCCACAAATCAAACGAGAACTCGTGTTGACATTTGTTCCCAATGTTTCTGTGGTGATAGGTCCTCGTTTTGAAGAGAGCACTCCGCGTTCCTCCTCTCCTCTCCTCTCCTTTCCTCTCCTCTCCTCTCCCCTCCTCTCCTCTCTTCTCCTCTTCTCTCCTCTCCTCTCCTCTCCTCTCCTACTCCTCCCCCTCCTCCCCCCTCCTCGCCTGTGCTCTTCGCATGCCTCTGTTTCGCCGCACCCCTCGGTTCGCATGGCGGCCCCGTCGCACCACTCACACGTTTCGCGGCCTCATAGGGCATAGGAAGCTCCACCGAAGGCCCCAGTGGCAAGGTTCGCATGGCGGCCCCGCCCAATTTCGGCACACCCCTCACACGTGTCGTAGCCCCATAGGGAGCTCCATTGTAGGCCTCAGCGGCAGGGTTCGCATGGCTGCATCGCTTCAATTTCGCAAAACCCCTCACACTGGCCCATAGGGAGCTCCACCGAAGGCCCCAGTGGCAGGGCGGCCCCGCCCCATTTCGGCACACCCCTCACACGTTTCGTGGCCCCTTAGGGAGCTCCACCGAAGGCCCCAGTGACAAGGTTCGCATGGCGGCCCTGCCTTGTTTCGGCACACCTCTTGTGGCCCCACAGGGAGCTCCACCGAAGGCCCCTGTGGCAGGGTTCGCATGGCGGCATCGCTTCAATTTCGGCACGCCCCTCACACGCCTCCCGGCGTCATATAAAGCTCCACCGAAGGCCCCAGTGGCAGGGTTCGCGTGCTTTCTTCTGCCTATTCTGGCACACCCCTCACATGTTCCGTGGCCCAATTGGAGCTCCGCCAAAGGCCCCAGTGGCAGCGCCCACATGCGTCCCCGAGCCCACTTCGGCACATCCCGCACACGTTTCGGGGTTCCAATTCGCGTTGCCCCGTGCTCCGTCCCCTCTCGCGGCGCGTTGCCTATGATGAAAAGGTCTTATCCTTCTTTATTCGCAGCTGCTTATGGTTGGGTCCTTCTCCAGGCTAATGTGTTTCCGGTGTAGTTGCATTGCCAGCGCAGCAGCGGCACCAACCCATCAACGATGTTGTTTTCTCATTGTAAGGGCGCCCCCAAACAATTGTGCCAACTGTGGTGTTTGAGACATTTGTAGAAATGCCAGTGAGTTTTGTTTGCGCCCCCCGTTTCTTTCAACAGCCGGAGTCTGAATGTCGTACAATTGCGAGTGGCGTTCGGCACACGCCGCCAGCGTGCTTGTGTTCAGGATCGGGGGGTGCTCTTTGGGGCGTCTTGCGGGCTTCGTGGGTCTTGGGACCACGCCGCATTCCTACAAGCTCTTGACACTGGCAATTGTCTGAGCAATGGGGCACGGCTTTACTCAAAGAAGGCACGATGGTGACATGTAGAATAAGGAGGAGGTGAGTAATGAGGAGGAGGAGGAGGAGGCACCTGGAGTTAAATTGGACAACCATGAAAGCCACTGTTGACCCATGTTCAGTGACATCTGGACCGACGTGTGAGCCCAGACTGGGTCAGATACCAGGCAGCGAACTGCTAGGAGGGCACCTCATTTAGGTTGGTGCCGCAGACCGAGTTGATGGGATGGGCCTTATCCATCAATATTCTTGACTCGACTCCGTGGCACGCATTCACGCGTGCTGCCAGATCTTCTGGCCGCTCGAAGAGTTCCTCGGGAAGGCGCTGTCGAGGGCCCCTTAGTCGTCAACAGCCTCAACTCTGAGCTCTGAGACGCCTGTGACAGGTATATTGCGCTTCCGCCAGCACGACCAACTCATATATGTCCATCGCCCGTGGGCTCAACGGCACATCCCAGCATGGATCCAGGGGGCTCCCGACGATGATGCTGCCAACCCAGACTTGAAGGTTTTGGAAGTGCGCCGTTGTTTGGTTAAGCCTGAATTCCGTGATGCTCTCAAGGGTTACGGGAGCCCTCTCTCTCTGTGATCTCCGTCGAGGCGAGCCCGATTGAGTCCCAGATTGAGAAAGGAAATGTTATAAAACAGCTCTACGGCACATATGTCCATCAGCCGTGGCATTGGCTTATGCATGTGTTAGCTACATGGACGGATGGATAACCCGCGTGCTGTTGTCTCTAATTGCTGCGCTGATTCCGCCGGCCCCTCTTGCATGAGCCATTGGTGCTATATGCTTGTGTGTTCGTGGCGAGCGATAAGGAGGAGGAGGAGGAGGAGGAGGAGGAGGAGGAGGAGGAGGAAGACGAGGAGGAGGAGGAGGAGGAGGAGGGCAGGGGGGCGAGGACTGGGGTGCGTTGACGCAGAGGGGTGGAGAAGGCGGAGAGGGAGGGAAGAAGGAAGGGCTGGTGAGACGATTGGAGGCCTCTCGGGGGCCTGTTGGGGGTATTGCTGGGACCTCCTGGGGCCTCCTGGGGGCCTCTTGGGGGTCTCTTGGGGCCCCGCTGGTGCCTCTCGGAGGCTTCTCGGGGGCCTCTTGGGGCCTCCAGGGGACCTCTCTGCGCCCAGAGAGAGCTCGAATTGTCCGTTCGGGTCCCCCATCTGGGCCCGCTCTTGGAGCCGTCTTGGGAGCCTCTTCGGCCATCTTGGAGGCCTTTGGGGCTGTCTTGGGGCCCTCTGGGGCCGTTTTGGGCGCTCTTTGAGGCCTCTTGGGTCGTGTTGGGGTGATCCTGGAAGCCTCTTGGGCCGTCTGACAGCCCCGGCAAGCCCAAAAGGCGACAACGCCCCAAACCATTTGACATTAAAGGACAATCAAGTTTCTGCCTCTGTGGGCCCTCTTGGGAGGTCTCTTAGAGCAAGGACAGATGGATAATCCGCGTGCTGTTTAGTCATACGTTTGACCATGTTTCGTCTATGTTGTCCCTTGCCACCTGCTGCCACCTTATTTGAGAAACCCTATCACTTGGACACGAGGGGCCATCACGTCTGATGACGTATTTCTCTCTGCTGGCATCGGCGATCTTGGTTGCGACTGCTTTGCGGTCGAGCGTGATTGCAAGAGCAATTGTGACGACTTGAGGCGGTGAGGCCGAGGAGGTTTGGACATTTGCTGCCTCATCGCTTATACCGTCCTGTTCCCTGCTGTTTATGATTGGTTGTCCTTTGATGGTGCCGCTCCTACTGCCGATCCTCTTGCCTGGGGCAGCCTTCGTCTGACTCGTGACTCCCTCTCCGCCTTCCTCGTGCTCCTTCCTCCTCTCCCTCCTCTGTCCCCCTCTCCCTCTGCTGGAGGCCAGTCGTCTCCCCCCCTCCCCCAATCTCCACGTTCCCTTCGCCCCTTCCGTCCCTTTCTTGCTCGTCTTCCTTCGACAGCCCAGCGTGCGGGTATCCTTGCGTTTCGAGCCGTGGCGCATGCGTCGTCCGCTTGCAGTTTGGGCAGTGTTTCTCCGTGTTCAGCGCACGCAGCTGGAGGGAGGCCACGACAGGCTTCTCAAGCTTCGGAAGGGGCCTGCGACCTGGAGTGCGTGCTCTGTTCAGACACTCCTCAAGCCCGGCATGCGGTGGACCCGTTGAAGCCGGCCACCGACCGTCCCCTCCCTCGACCCCTCTCGGCCCCTTCTCCGTCCCGCACCCTGCCCCCCTCCCTGGCGGGCCTTGCTTCGGGCGGGGCCGGGACGAGGCTCCATCCGCTCCAGAGCGCTTCGGAACGCTATCGGAGCGCCCTCCTCCTCCTCCTCCTCCTCCTCCTCTTCCTCCTCCTTTTCCTTCTCCTCCTCCTCCTCCTCCTCCTCCTCCTCCTCCCCCTCATTCGCTCTTAGTTGTGCGCCGCTATCGGGGCCAGGATGAGGATCAATCCGCTCCAAGGCGCTGAGAAGGCCGCGGCGCCCGATGCATCCTCCAGAGCCGCCGGAGTGCAGATATCCTGGATGGATCCTCGCCCGATGTCATCTTCGTCCTGGCTTCGACGAACCAACAACACACACCCATACCCATGGGGGGATCGGAGAGGGCTATGGGTGCGTGTTGTCGGATGGGGGTCCCCGCTCGAACGGGAGCGTTCCCCAGGATCCGACAACCCGCACCCATACCCATAGCCAGTCCTCCTCCCAACGACCCCCCTGTGGGGATGGGTGCGTGTTGTCCGTTCGTCCTGGCTTCGTCTCCTCGCTCCTCGCCGCCCCGGGCGCAGGATCAGTGACCTCTACATCCTGGACGCCGGGGGGCAGCGCTGGGCTCGCCCGCTCTACGAGGGACAGGCGGCGGTGCCGCTCTCTCTGCTCCGCGCGCGCGGGGGCGAGCCTGCGCTTCGGCGGGGGCGTGCTGTTTTTGTTGGGCGTCGTGGCTCCCCAGAGGTCTGGGCTGAAGTCGGGCGCGTCCCTCTACAGGAGGATGTTCAAGAATAGTGGGAAGATAGCCTGGGGACGATTTTCCCATCGAAAAGAAACAAATCACATTGGGATAGTTTTTGGATACTTTCAGTTTGTTTTCCAAAATCCCCCTGTAGGGGGACATGAGTCTGGACCCATTCTCCAAGGAGAACACACATCATGAACATAAACGTTTGGGGCTCCGCGCAGATTTCTTGGATCCGCGCTGGGTCCCCTGGCGGCGCCTGCGGCGCCGCCACTGGCGCGCGGATCCAAGAAATCCGCACGGACCGTCGAAAGTTTATGTTTATGCCGTTTTTTGTTCCTCTAATCCTTGGGGGCCGGTTTTTCATCCCGACCCGATTTTGACGGCCCTGGGTTCCTGCGATCCCTCCAGGGGCCGAAAGAGAACCGAAGAGTTCCCGTTGTTTCTTCGTATCACGAAGATGTCACGGAGAGTCTTGTTAACTTGTCAGAGGAAATCGTATTAGTTCGAGAGGCTTACGCCGTTGCGCCGACCCACAGAAAAGGGAAGAAACCCACGGGCTTGGGGCCTCTTGGGGGCCTCTTCGGGCCTTCTAGGAGTTTCTTGTGCACCTGCTTGCGGTCTCGGGGTCCTCTTCGGTCGTAGGGTTCGGCCTGTCAGTTTAAGTTATCTCTCTTGGGCCCTGTTGGGGCCTTCTTGTGCTGTCTTGGGCGCCTCTTGGACAGTCTTGGGGCCCTCTTCGGCCGTCCTGGGGCCCCTGTGGGGGCTTCCTGGACCAATCTTGGGCGCCTCTGAGGCCGTCTTTGACGCTGATAAGACCAAGCATGCGAATATGCTGAACAACTATATGTTGTCCAGGGGATTTGGGACGATTTGGGCGAGACCTCTGGGGCGTCGCCTTGGAGCTCTCTTGGGGCGTCTCTGAGGCCTCCTGGGCAGTTTTGAGGCCATCTGGGTCGTCTTTGAAGACTCCTCGGCGTGTTGAGCCCAGCGTGGGCCAGCTTAGATGGCATCCTGGGTATCTTGGAGGCCACGGAGTGTAGATTTGGAGGCTCCGAAGGCACCGGGGGGTCGTCGATGAGTTCCCTCTTCTCCCCCCCCCCCCCGTAATGCGATGTGGGATTTTTTTTGTGTGTGTGTGTGTGGGGGGGAACAGGCAGGGGGACAGCCAAATGTCTCGCACGCCTTTTCACCCCTGGCAAGCGGGGTCGGCGGTTGGATTCGCCGCGAAGTTTTTGTCAGAACGCACACTTGGAGAGACCCAGGGAGTAGCAGTATAGGTATCTTTTGGTTCCCCCAGTTGTGCCAACCTTTCGATTGTGGACCGTTTGGGGCATGCTGTTGTTTTTATCACCACCCCGTCTATTCCAGTGTGGTGGCCTGTGGTGCATCGCTCCTCGCCCGACGCCTTGCGGCGCGATCCTTCCTTACTTCTTCCGCCGCGCTGAACAAACGGAGGCAGACGATTAAATGGGGTCAATCTCGCAGTTACAGACCCTGGCCAGGCCCATAGTGGGCCTAGGTGTGTGCCCCTCCCTGGCTTAGCCAGAGGTGCGTATACACCCATCCCAGGCTCAGGATTGGTTTTGCCAGGGGCAGTGTGTATATATATATATATATGCATACATGTATGAGGATGATCTACATACGTGTTAAAATAGAAATGAAATTCTGAATTTGACACTGCATCTAATAACTACATGTGTATATGAGGTAGATGTCCAAATCCACACATGCATACACATGGTTGTGTATGATACATTGTCATGCGCACCTCTCCGAGGGAGCAGAGCACAGAGGCGATTCATTGAAGCTGGTCGCGCTTTTCTGGCCGTCTCTCTATGGACATGATTCAACATCTGAAAATTGATATCACTCCTCACTCTGTTTGCGACGTCACGGTCTAAGCACACATCTCTTGTACTCCAATGTGTGAGCATAACATGTTCAAGCTCGCAAGGGATTTCAATGATTTTGCACAGCTTTGAGAACCAAAGCAGGTTCGCCTCAGAGCTCCTCGCAACATCGAGCTCCGACGTACAACACACGCAACACACACCACCCACTTTTTTTCCGCATTGCGCAGGCCGACGGCGTCTGGGGTGCGCGCGCCGGCGCCTGGTCCCCGGAGCCGGCGCCCGGCCCCCAGTCGCTGCGGCTCGGAGCTGCCCAGCGCGAGCAGGTCTGGGCCTGGCAGCCGACCTGGGGAGAGGCAGTGGTGTCCCCCCCTCCCCCCCCTAGCTGCCACACAAGGTGTGAGTGTTGGGAGCGCGCCGCCCGACAACCAGCGCTCTTCCCGGGGAGCCCGGGCAGCGCCGCTCGCCAGGATTCGGGGCCGCGCTTCTCACGACGAAAGGCTCCCCTGGCAAGGCCCTGTGAAGCGATACGGCGGCCGGGGAGGCGACGGCCACACACTGGGGCATGGGCATACCATGGCCTGCATCATGACCAACCAGCCCGCGCATCACGACTGTGTCAGCCAGGCAGTCAAGCCTGGCGCACAGACGGCGCATTGGCAAGTTGAAAATGATGAATATGACCGGAAACACCAGCAATAGCCCCTGACTCGTGCAGGAAATGCAAAGGGCACCGCGGCGGAAGTGCAGGCAGTGTCAACGATACGAAATCACCCTGCAAACGTATCGGCGCCACGTCGGAGCAGGGGGAGGAGGGGATGGGGTGGGGGACGGCGAAAGGCTTGGAGGGAACAGCTAAAGCCAATGGTCGTCTCATCAGTTGCGAAAGCATACGGACAAGTCTTGCTTAGGCCTCCATCGCCTCCGGCGGAGATCCCAGCGCCGTGGCTCGGCGGCATGCGGATCGCCAGTAAATGTTTGTAAAAGTTGCCCTCGGGGAGAGCGGCAATTTTGCAATAGAGTGCAGTTTGCCTCTCACTCAGTGCGGTGCTTAGCGCCGCCTTGCCATTCGTTCGTCCCAAGACGATGTTGTTTGGTAATCCAGATACGCATGAAGATGGGATGGACAATGTTTCCCGAGACACCGTGCTTGGAACCCATCAAGTTTGCGTTTGTTTGTTTGAAGTAGTCGTATTCGGATTCACATGTTACATCAGTTTTGCTACCACGATTGCTTGGTACAGCTCGATTTTTCTTCATTTCGCGTCATACTCGCGTGTGCCCAGCACTCGTGCAGAGATTTGACAGCACCCTTCGCTTCACCAGGCGGTATTGAGTTTGGAGCGTATCGAGCTGCCCCAAACGCAGCGCTGGGAAAGGGGCCCGGCCAGGGGCTGTGGATCTGCAATCTGTCCTGACCGCTCGCCTGGCGCGGGCGCGCGACAAAAGGCCCCTCCCCCAGACCCGCCCGCCCAGCCCAGGTCAACGTTCGCGCACACGCGTCCTCGGTCCTGCACGATAAGCTCATTGTCTTCGGCGGAGTGCGCGACAAGGCCAGGCCCCGCGCACCGGCGGCCCTCCCTCGCCGCCGCTTCCCGGGGCGTCTCGGTACCGGGCCGCACCCGGTCTCAGGGAGGCGGCGGCGGCGAGGGGGGGGGGAGGACGGGGCCGCAGGAGTAGCAGGAGGGGGGGAAGCGGGACGGTGGCGAGGGCAGCAGAAGGAGGACGTTGTAGAGGGGGTTGAGAGCCAACGGTTGGCCACCCAGCGATCGGACAAAGCAGGGAAGGTGGGGGAGGTGGAGGAGGAGGAGGAGGACTGGGAGGCAAGACGACGACGATGATGATGATGATGATGATGATGATGATGATGATGATGATGATGATGATGATGATGATGATGATGATGATGATGATGATGATGATGACGATGCTGATGATGATGATGCTGATGATGATGATGATGATGATGATGATGATGATGATGGTGATGAGGAGTTGGAGGAGGAATAGCAGTAGGAGGAGGTAGAGGCAGACAAGGAGGAACGAGGCCAATGACGGGGAGGACAGAGTACGGATGGGGGTGGAGGAGGGTTGACAGGATGAGGAGCACGAGATGTAGTGGGAGGGGGTGTAGGGGCAGGATAAGTATGTTGTAGTTGTACTCAGAGGCCGAACGGATAGATACATGCGCGCTTAGTTTTAATGTCTTCCTGCGCGCCGACGGGAAGCAGTAGACGGTTGACGTGATATGTGTAGATGCACGCACGCAGTCGGCCATAATTGCGCTCAGTGTATTTGGCCATGGCTTCGCCACGCTCTCCCGACTTGGCCACACCAGCCCACACATTGCCGATCGACTTCTAACTCCAGCAGCAACGGATCGCGCCCCCTAGGCAGTTCCGCGCGCCTCCGCGCGCTTGCTCCGCAGGAACCCTGCCCAGACTGCCCCGAAATCCTTCCTCCAGCGGCTTGCAGTATGATGCGGTTTGGCATCGCTCGGACGTCTGCCTTTTTTTCCTCGGCAGAAACCATCGAGGAAGATCCTGGATCATCGATCGAAGAACCGCACGAAAACGAACAATGCATGGGGAATGGACGTCCGAGCGATGGCGACATGATGTGGGTGTCATCGATATTCTGCGATCTCACCGAGGATGTATTCAACAAAGTGAGCTGCACAACATGAGGTAGGTGGCACGGGTTCCTCAACCTCATGGCCATTGGTTTTTACCTTCTGGCGGGTAACGCTCGTTACCCGGCGCCCCCCCCACCCTGCGTCATGGTAACGATTGTTCTTTTGGTTGGGGCCTGGACCCCCCCCCCGGCATGCAGGTGCCCGAAGGCATGTTGTGCTGTTCGCAGGACACTGCGGTTCTCGCATGTTGCCGTGGCACATGCAGGAGTATTGGCGGTGCTCGAGCACGCGTTGCGCTGCTCGCCGTCGTGCGATTCTGACGGGGTCTGGCTTGCTGTGCATGCGCGCGGTGCTCGCAGGCGTTGTCGTGTTCGTGGGCACGTCGCGGCGTCCGTAGGTGAATGTTATGTTTGCGAGAAAGAGAGAGAGAAAGAGAGAGAGAGAGAGAGAGACAGAGAGAGAAAGGAAGGGGAGGGACAAGCTGAGGAGGATAACGGCGGCGACGAAGAAGGACGAGGGAGGTATGGAACAGCATGGTTGAGGTAAGGGTCTGACGTGCACAAACCGATCCAAGCATGGTGGTGGTTTCTACCCTGTCGCCGCCGCGGCCGCCGCCGCCACCGTGGTCAACCTCGTTCATCGTCGTCGCCGCCGCCGCCACCGTGGCCGCCCTCGCCGTCGTCGTCGTCGTCGTCGGCGGCGTCGTCGTCGTCGTCGGCGGCGTCGTCGTCGGCGGCGTCGTCGTCGTCGGTAGTCGTTGTCGGTCGTCGTCGACAGACGTCGTCGTCGTCGTCGTCGTTGTCGCCGCCGTCGTCGCTCGTCGCCTTCGTCGTCGCCGTCGTCGACAACGTTGTCTGTCATCCGTCGTCTGTCGTTCGCCGTCGTCATCGTCCTCGTCGTAGTCCGTCGTTGTCCTCGTCGTCGTCGTCGTCGTAGTTGCCGTCGTCGTCATCGTCTCCGGTTGCCCTGCTCACCGCCGCCGTCCGCCTGCTCAATGAGTTCATTTCTTGGCCGTTCCTCGCTCAATCGTTGGGGAACCTGCTGCTGATGGTCGACTTTCCCCGTGGCCACGAAAGCCTTTTTTTCGTCCTTCGCCAATCAGTGCTTGCACGGAAGGGTCCTAGCGGAAATCGAAGGATTTGGCAAAAAGTTCCCCGCCGATTTCGGTGACAGACTGGGTTCCCGGGTTCCCGGGTTCCTGGTTCCGCGTTCCCGGGCTCCCGGTTTTGGGTTCCGGGTCGATTTAGGAGGGCGGCGGGGTTCCCGGGTTTCCGGGTTCTTGGTCGATCTTCAGATCGATTGGTCTCAGCATCGATCTCATTACGGGCTTCTCGATCGATCTCACCATCGATTTCGCAATCGATCGCATTATCAATCTCACATGCGATATCTTCGAAATGGCATGAACCATTTCGCGATCGATCTCATTGTCGATCTCATTGAATCGATTTCGCTCTCGATTTCCGGTCGCACGAGCGACCTTACAATCGTCCTTGCGATTGATTCCGCTATCGACGTCACTATCGATTTCGCAATCGATTTCATAGCCATAGTATCAATTTCCAAATCCACTGGTTGGTTTTCTCACGTGTAACGCATTCCCCAATTAGTGCTTGCATTGCAGGGGTCCTAGCGGAGGTTGGCGGATTTGGCGAAAGTTTCCCGCCGATTTTGGTCGCACGCTGGGTTCCCGGGTTCCCGGTTCCGGGTTCTCTGTCCCCGGGCCCAGGTTCCCAGGCTCCTGGTTCCCAGGTTCCCTGGTTCCCAGGTTCCCAGGTTCCCTGGTTCCCTGGGTCGGTGGGCGGCGAAGTTCCCATATTCCCCGGTTTTTGGTAGATCTTTTTGGCGATCGGTCTCAGCATCGACCATACTTCCCACATCTCTATTGATCTCACCACCGATGTCACAATCGATCTCACAATCGATCTCGCAACCGATTTCACGAATGAGAGATCAGAGATCGCACGAGAGATCTCGCGATCGATCTCCCTATCGATTTCAGTGAATCGATTTCATTCTCGGTCTCAAGATTGCCCTTACAATCGCCCCCATCGGTGCCATTGTCGATTTCGTTTTCGATCTCACAATCGATCTCAACATCCATATGAGCAATTTTCTAATCTTCCACGTGTTGGGATTTTTCAGGTGTAATGATACGAGATTCCTGCTGGGCAGGCTAAACTCGCAGCTTCCGCCTGGGGAAAACGGGGGAGATGAGGATGGGGACGAGAGGGAGGAGGAAAACAAGGAGGAGGAGGAGGAGGAGGAGGAGGGGGGGGAGGAGGACGAAAAGGAAAAGGAAAAGGACGAGGAGAAAGAAGAAGACAGGACGAGGACGGGGACGAAGACAGCGACGAGGACGAGGAAAACGAAAAAGAGGAGGACGAGGAGGACGAGGAGGGAGGAGGAGGAGGAGGAGGAGGAGGAACACGGGAACAGGAGGAGGATGAATAGCGGAGCAACGTTTTGCGGTTCCTCACCACGCGGCGTGGTGGTCGCAACCGCACTGTGGCTTGCAGTCGCGATGTGCGGGCATTGTGGTGTTCGCAAGCGCACCGTGGTGTTCGCAAGCGCATTGCGGTGCTCGTGCTGTGATATGGTTGTCGCAGGCGCACACTGCTCGCTCGCAGGCCATTGCGGTGCTCGCGTGTTCCTTGCCCATGCTCTCAGGATTTGTGCGCGCGATCGAATCGCAGGCCACTGTTGTGCTCGCAGGCATAGAGTGCTGCTCGGGCGCGCGCAATGGCGATCGCACCGCGCCCACGCCACGACGAATCCCACCCCGCCTAAGCGTTACCGTTGCCCGGGGCCCGAACCCCCCCACGGATAAAAACCGTTACCAGCCAGACAAAACAAATACATCAGGGTTTTCGCATTTTTCTGTATGTCGTAAGAGTTGATTGAGAACCTGGACCGCGGACCCCATGCCAAACTGCAATTCAGAGACACAGATTCCCCCGGAGGGTTCTTATCCTGAAGAAAGTGTTTTTTTCTTGAAGCGCTATTCGGTAATGTTGTCATGTCCCGAGCATGGAGCTTTCTTTTCTGATCGCGTTTTTCCCCGGGGAAGTTGTTGCAATGCGCATATGTTCCTCAAGATGGTTTGTTCGTCCTAGGGAAAGACTCCCCTCCTCAAGAATAGGTGCCCTTCACGAGGAATGTTTGTCTTCCTGACGATGGCGTTTTGAAAGGTTTCGCCTTGCTCAGGAACTGTTTCTTTTCCGGGGTCAGATTCTCTCGTTCTAGAAAGTGTCCTTCCCGAGGAAGGTTTTCTGGAAGGTGTTTCTTTTCATTTGAAGGTTTCTTATTCAAGGGGGAGTTGTCGTAACATTGATGTCCATGTTAAGAGGGTGTTCCTTCCTGGGGGCGGGTTGCCCATTCTCCTGAAGGTGATTCCGTTCCAGATGGAGGTTTCCAGTCGGACTTTCTTCTCCAGAATATTGTTATTTCGTGTTCCATAAGTTTGTTCTCGTCGTGTTTCATACGTGCATAAGTTTCTTTCATAAGTTTATTATCGTCGTGATTTCTCTCGTCCGCTTTAGATTCCGTCATTCTCAGTCGTGTTTCATAAGTTTCGTTCTCGTTTCTTAGTTCTTCCACCTTTCCGTTAGCTAACGGCGGCACGTTCTTTCTATACCAGTTTATACGCCCAGTTTCTTTGCTTATCATGCGCTGCAGTCAACGGTTGCCCCAACGCCGGCGCCACAGCGCTAACACTCAGATTGTTCTGCATAGTATTGTGGATTGTGTGCTTGCGGATGGTTCCTCTCGTTTGGTGCGCTCGGTAAGCTCCAGTCGTCGAGAAGGTCTTTCCGCACCCGTGGCATATGACAGGTTCTTCTTCAACCATAATGTCGTTCATCCTGTTCTGTTCCACGCCACTCTTTTTCCACGTTTCAACTCTGTATTTCTACGTTGCCACCGGCTTGTAACTTGTAACGGCCCCATGCACGTCTCACCATTTGGTCACGACGTTCGGCGTTCGCTTGCATAGCGCGATCCATCCACTTGAGTCCGAGCTCTCAGGTAGGCCGTCCTGTGCCCGATCAGTATGTTCATCCACTTCAAGTCAGATTTCAATTTCCAGCCAGCTTTCTTGCTGATCCATAGTTTCCATGAACAATTCCAAAGGTACCTTCGGAGAATACGTTGAAATATCTCAACCGTCAACGTATCAAGTTCTCCCAAATGGTTGTACGACCTGTCTCTGTCAGCACCTTGTCTGTAACTCTTGCTTCCTCCCTCGCGTACCCTGGACCTGGACGCGGCGCCCCGCGAGCGGTCAGAGCATCTACGATGGCCCAACACGGCTCCAAGAGGGCCTCAGAGAGCCCAACATGACCTCCAAGATGGCCCAAGAAAGCCCAAGATGTTTCAAGATGGCTCCCACGATGCCCCAGTAAGCCGCAAGACCGTTCCATACGGTTCCAAGTGGCCACGGAGTACCTCACGGAGGCCGTCAAGAGGCCACAACCTTTCGAAAACCTAAGGCACATCAATGAGTTGTGCCTTCTCGCAGTTTTGCTTTCAATTGCCTTCCGAGGCGCCGAGACAGCTCCAAGACAGCTCCAGAGAGCCCCAAGAAAGGCCTGAGAGAGCCCCAAGACGGCCCCAAGAGCGCCCAAGAGCGCTCCGAGAGCGCTCCAAGAGGGGTGCAAGAACCGATGCCAGGCACTCTAGAGGGGCAGGCCTAGTCGGAGCCCCTCCCTTCTTTTTGTATCGATGTCCTGCAAGATGGCCCAAAAGCACCCCCGAGCCTCCCCATTCTGCTCTCCCCCCCCTTATGATCTTGGCTCAAGCCGTCTCGGCTCGGAGCATGCCTGCCCGCCAGGCGCGTCGCAGTTGATCCGTCTTGCTGCGCAGCCGCCGACCCCTCGGATTCGTACGGGTTTGACCGTCTTCGGGCCGTCTTGGGCTCTATGGGGGCTGTAGCTAGCGGCTCTCGCCGTCTTGAGGGCCAGCTGGGGCTCTCCTGCGGATCGCTGTGGCCTCTTTGGATCATCGCTGTGCCCCTTTGGTGGCTCTCTTGGGCCGTCTCGACTCCGTCTGGGAACCATGGTGGGCAGTCTTGTCGGCCTCTTGGGCCGTCTTTGCTCGTCTTGTCCGCCTCTCGGGTCTTGGATCGCGTTGGTGGTCTCATGAGTGGCGGGTTGGGGAAATTTTGGCTCAGTTGTGCTGTACAGGAGTGCTGGTAAGCTGTTCGGAGGCGACCGTGCGCGGAAAACATACTAGGCATGATTTTGGGGGGCTTCGTTGAGCATCTCTTGGGGGACTTTGGGCTCTGTGCGCTCTTGGGGGCTCTCTCGGCGCCAGTTCTACTCGTTAGGGCCGCCTGCGTCGTCTTGGCAGCCTCCATCTCCTGGGAGACCCTGAGGCCGTTTTAGAACCAACGCCGTGCCCTCGTCCCCTCCCCCCCTCTAGAGCCGGCAAAATCGCCTTCCCTTTGGGGCGGGATTTTGAGACAGAGGCGCAAGTCTCACACGCTGGCCACCCGATGTGGGTCGGCGAATGCCAGCCCGCGGAGCAGGGCCCCAGCTCCCTCCGTCTGGTTTTCCTCGCCCCTCTTGTCTGGCATGGGCAGCTGCTTCGGGTGCAAGATGGCGCAGCGCGACATTACCCTGGCCGATGCAGACCCCGAGTCCAGCGACGAGGACTCCGGCGCGGGCTCGGAGGGGGCAGTGGGCGTGCCCTACCCGAGCCCACGCCGGTCTCCGAGAGGCGGGGAGGTGGTGGAGCAGGCGCAGTGGAAGGTCGGCCGCAGGCTGTGGGGCTGGTGTGCCTGCGACTTCGACGTGTCCCCGGGGGCCTCCCCGATTGAGACCGGCGCTGGTGAGGTCCTGCAGGGCAGTGGTCCCCGCAGTGGCAGCTCCCCCACGAGGCGTTTTGGCCCAGAAATCCCGCCTCTTAACCTCTCTGCTCCTGCGGCGCCCAAGAAGAAGAAGCCAAAGCCGCGCATGTAGTGGAGCGGCCGCGGATGCTCCTTCGCCGAAGGCCAGAAGGCTGCACGCCAGCGGCCAGGTGCTCGAGAGGAGGAGGTGTCGGAGAAAGCGCCACAGAAGTGGGAGGAAGCCAGCGGGGAGCTCGACCTGGTGTACGAGAGCGGTCTTGATAGAGGCGGAGGGGATAGGGGAGCAGACGGAGTTCGGCGGCGCCCTTCGCGCCGCACGGTGAGGCCAGAGCCCTGTGCCCGGTTGCTGTGGACGTGCTGCACACATTGCATGCGCGTTTCGTGCCTGGCTGCACCAGCTCGACCTCGCCCAGGGCCTGGCCCTGGGCGAGGGCGCGGTGCGCCCGGCGGTTTTGCCTGGGGCGGTCGGCGTTCGGCCGAAGCAAAGACACGTTGACAACGAATGTCCCACCTCTCCGAGAGACAGTAGGGGGCCAGGGCGCGGCGAGCTTGGCGGAGGCGCTCAGAGCGCCCTCCTTTCCCCCCTTTCGGAAAGGGGGGGAGGGGGGGGGGGAAGATTCTGGAGCTCGAAAGGCGGGGAGGGGGGGGTAGCTTCCGCAGAGCGGAAGAACATGAGGGGATGGGGGTGGCATCGGGCAGCCGGGGTGCAATTGGGGGGGAGGTAGCAAGCCCCTTCCCACATCCGTTGGAAAGGGGGTGAAGGGGGGGAGCATTTGGAGCGCGAAAGGCCTGAGGGGGGGGGTAGCTTCCGCGCGGCGGAAAAACGGGGAGAGGGGGGGGGGCTTCGGGCAGGTCTAAGGGGGGACCCCCCCCCATTTCTCTGGCGCCGCTGCGTGCGCGCTCTCTCCTGATTTTCCCTTGTGCTGTCGTGGACGTCTCGCCAGCCCTTCGAACGAGTTAAGACACGGACTCCATATATTCAGTCATGGACACGATTCAATAATTGAACATGGTTCCAATCGATGGTTTCTTTGTTTAGTCAACGGTTTCAAACAGTGACGTCCTTTATTTAGTTGGACGCTCCTGAGGGGGCAGACCGCCGCCCCACCATGTTTGGATCCTGAACACTGTGGGAGCGGCGGCCGCTCCGCGCGCGCGAATAGGAGATGTTCTGGTGCTGGTGCTGGTGCTTCCGCTCAGAGGCCTCCTGGGGCTCTATGGAGAGGACATTGGGCTCCTCAGCGAGCTCTCTGGTGTATGATCCTGAGCCCAGGACGGCCGCAGAGAGGCTGGAGGAACTGATAGCAGCGAGCTCTGTGTCGTATGACCCTGAGGCAATGACGGCCGCAGAGAGGCTGGAGGAACTGAACAACAACCGTCGGGTTCGTCCCAGAAAGCGCGCCGAGGAGTGTCTTTCACATGACCCTGAGGCTCTAAGAGGCTAGGACGGCCGCAGAGAGGCTGGAGAGGCTCAACAAAAACCGTCGGGTTTGTCTCAGGGGGACCTTTGGAGGGGCCCAGAAAGGAGCCGGAATGGGTCAAGTGCGGCGACTTGGGGTGAACGATGAAAACAGGAAGGGGAACATGCAGTTCGAGTTTGCTTGCGGCTCCTGGAAGAGCCCCTGGAGGCTCTGAGGGGGCACCGCAGATGGGCGAAATACGGTGTCAAGAAGGCGGCCAGACGGCCCAAGATGGGTCCGAGAGGCTCTCAGGACGGTCGTAGAGAGCATGCCTGGGTTCTAAGATGGCCGCAAGAGCCAGCGAAGATGCACGGGAGTTCCGAGAGAGGCGCAAGGAGAAGTGCGAGAAGGCCAGAATCATCAACATCTTATGTTTTTTTATGATGTCTTTCGCTTGTTGGGGTGTTCTGGTGCATGTCGCTCGGAAAGAGGTGGAAAAGGCATTCGAAACGGCTCAAAGTGGCCTGAAGCAGGGTGAACATGAGCCCAGGAGCATCAGGAGGCCCGAAAAGCCAGCCCGGTGGGCTCCTGGAGAGGTCTCGGAGAGCGCCCAGGCGCTGCCTGGAGGGGCCCGGAAGGCCAGCACGTGGAAGGGGGGTCGTCTTGGGACGGACATGGCGGCCAGAAGGCGCCCCGGCCGCAGCCGGGGCCCCCAGGCCGGCGGAATGAGCGAGGCGCGGGGAGGACCCTACGGTAGGTTCGCGTCGTGTCGACCAGCGGCGACCCCAGCGCGGACGTTCAAGGTTGAACGCCGCCGGCGACCCAGAATCGATCGATGTTGAACGATCGGACGTTGCGGCAGCGGCCGATCGTTCAAGGTTGAACGATCCCTGCGGTGTCAAAAACCAACGCTGGGGTCGGCACTACACGAACCTACCGTAGGATGGGCTGCGAGGGCTCAGAGGCAGGGGTAGGTATGAAGAGCGCGCTGGAGAGAAAACTTACACAAGGCACTATTGAAGACCATGCCGTGGATCTCATGCGCCGTACCCGGTTTGGGCGGCGAATCGCTTCGCTCATTCCGCCGGCCCATTTCGCATCATTGTTGCTGCATGGTGGTGTGCTCATGCCCAGAGGGAGGGCAGTACGATCTTCGAGGAGATCTTTGGAGATGTGGCTCGCACCCTGTCGAAGGGAGCCGTTAGACTGCCCCAGAGGGCGCAAACATGGCTCAAGAGAGCTCGAGAAGAGTTTGGAGACGTACCTGGGTTGTGGGTCAAAGTCCATATGGATGCTTCTTGGGGTCTCTTCGGAGGGAGCCTCTGGGGAGCCTCTTGGGGGCTTCTTCGGGACCTCTTGGGGCTTCCTGGGAGCCTGTCGGGAGTCTTAGGAGCCTCTTTTGAGGCCTCTTGGGGGCCTCTTGGAGCCACCTGGGGGGCTCGTGGGGGCTTCTTGGGGCCTCCTGGGCGCCTCTCGGGGCCGAGGGCTCGAAATGTCCGTTTGGGTTCCCCGTCTGGCCCCCTCTTGGGGTCGTTTGGGGAATATCTTAAGCCGTCTTGGTGGCCTCTTGGGCCGTCTTGGGGCCCCCTTGGGCCTCTCTTGGAGGCCTCTTGGGCCGTCTTGGGGCGATATGTGGGACCTCTTGGGTCGTCTTCGGGCGTTGGGAAGCCGAACAGATGAGAACGGCAAATTCCTTCAAACACCGTTGGGGGATTTATAGTTTTTGCCTTCTGGAGCCCTCTTGAGACGCTTCTTCGAGGCCGCTTTTGGCGTCTTGGGAGCCTCTTGGGGCCCAGGGCTCGAAATGTCCGTTCGGGTTCCCCGTCTGGCCCCCTCTTGGGGCCGTTCTGTGGATATCTTGGGCCGTCTTGGAGGCCTCTTGGGCCGTCTTGGGGCCCGCTTGGGCCCTCTTGGGGCTCTCTTGGAGGCCTCTTGGGCTGTCTTGGGGCCATATTTGGGACCTCTTGGGCCGTCTTCGGGCGTCGGGAAGCCGAACAGATGAGAACGGCAAACTCCTTCAAACACCGTTGGGGGATTTATAGTTTTTGCCTTCTGGAGCCCTCTTGAGACGCTTCTTCGAGGCCGCTTTTGGCGTCTTGGGAGCCTCTTGGGGCCCAGGGCTCGAAATGTCAGTTCGGGTTCCCCGTCTGGTCCCCTCTTGTGGCCGTCCTGTGGATATGTTGGGCCGTTGTGGAGGCCTTTTGGGCCGTCTTGGAGCCCTCTTGGGCCCTTTGGGGGCTCTCTTGGAGGCCTCTTGGGCTGTCTTGGGGCGATATGTGGGGCCTCTCGGGCCGTCTTGGGGCGTCGGGAAGCCGAACAGATGAGAACGCCCAAGTCCTTCAAACACCGGAGGGAAACTTATGGTTTTTGCCTCCTGGAGCCCACTTGAAACGCTTCTTCGAGGCCTCTTTAGGCGTCTTGGGAGCGTCTGCGGCCGTCTGGAGGCTATCTTGGGCGTCTTGGACCGATCGGTCGGCGACTCGGAGCCCTCTTGGACCGTCTTGGGGACTCTTGGGGCGGTTGAAAGCCGCGCCCAGAAGGAAAACCAATCTCTGAGTAGTAACCGGCTGGGTACTTTTAGTCCACGGACTTCCAGGGGCCGCCCCGCGCGCGTTGTTTACCAGTGGCCGGAGATCTTAGCACTCCTCTGGCCCGTTTTGCCAGCGAATTTCGTGGTGAGTCTAGTCGATAATTCCATTCCGCGTCTAGCATTCGATTGGGTTTTGTGCTTGCACGGGCACGTGACCAGAGGCAAGGATCGGGCTGGACGAAAGGGAGGTTCTTGGGAAAGTGGGGGCACGACATTTGCTGCATGCAGCCAGTCTCGGCCTCGCCGCCGGGTGCTTACTTGACACATGGGCGCCTGCGGCGAGGGGAGGCGCCAGGAGAGCGGGCTGCGTGAGCTGGTTCGCCAGCCTCCCGCTGCCGCCCTCCTGTCGTCCGACGCGAGAGCACAGCGCACACCGGTTGTCGAGTCGTGGCTGGTTGCCAGAGCGCCGGGCGTCCCCGCGCCGGTCTGCGGAGGAGCCGCCCCGCCAGGGGCGCCGCCCGGCCGGCTCGCCCACTGGCTCCCGACGGCAGGCCTGTCCTTCAGGCAGTGGCGAAACGTCCTGGCTCGCACATTGCTGGGTTCTGGGAACATGTCGTGGTAGGACTCCAGGACTGCCGGGACGGTCGGTCCCTGCTCAAGCACCCGCCTTTGCCATTGAGCAAGCTGGTCCTGAAATCCGAGGCGGGAATGCATACATGACCACCGCCTGGAGGGTCAATTTTCGGAGCCTTGGCAGGCGGTAAATACGGACAGATTCGTACCCCCGGGGGCCGAAGCACATCCACATCCACCGCCCGCTGGGGCACCAGGACGTCGATATCCCAGGCGGTGGATATGGATCAATTCCCGTCTCGCATGAAAGCAACGGGTCCCGAGGGTGTTCGGGGCACTGCGGGCTCCTGTGGCCCTCCCTGGGCGTCAAGACTTCACTCCGGGTGCAGAGCTCGTAGGGGAGAGCCCTCGGGGTGCAGGGCCTGGTTCCTCTCAGGACCTGCTTCTTGGATGCCCACCATCGGGTCGGACGCAAGGGGTAGGTCAGGAGGGGACAACAAAAACACAGACACAATGAACCGTCGATTCCCCAGAAAAGATGGGAAACTATGTGAGGTGGGGGAGAAGACGAAAACCCGGGAAATATGGGAAAACTATGTGGGGAATCTT